AGACCTATCACATATGCATAGTTTTTTCATATCAAGAACCTTGTGGGGGCTCATCAACATACTTGGCCAAGGGCCCATTATCTATGGATTTGACCACCAGGGTATTCCTAGAAGCTGGTGGCTCCATAAAATAACCCTCTTCACCATCATCGAGCGCAAGATAAAGGGTCAATTCCATATATATTCCTTGTCATCATTTGTTAAAAATAAAATATCGTGCATATAAACAAATCACCAAACAAGCACAAATCGAAATAAATCACAAGGCAATCATGAAGTCCATTTTAATGATTTCTTCATTTCCACCAAATTAATTTCCTAAAAGGGACACTTAGAAATATAAATAGAAATACCAAGAATTCGTTACCCAAATTGAGTAGACTTTGCCTTTCAGAAGCAAAGGAAAAAGCTCCTATAAATTCCTTAAGCAAGCTTGTGAATTTCCTACTCTCCTCCTCCTTTCTCTCTCTAATTTTGGTAAAATTTGAAGAAATTGAAAATGGTGAAGAATAGGGGAGTAGAGGGGTTTTTAAAGGAAATTGGAGGGTGACAAACATCTAAAAGTCCAAGTGGGGGCATGGTCGTGGGCCCCACATGGCATGAGTCACCCAACATGATGGCTAGTCACGTAAGTTGGCAGCAAGCTTGCTGCCAATGACCACACAATATGCTCTTTACCTCGCCCTGTGCGCTCACAGAGCTCAATATGGGCACGCAGGCATTCTACCACACGCAAGCGTGGCCTTGCGGCGTGTATTGCAAGCAGTGTGTACCTAGTGCATGGGTCTGTGCTCAAGCGAGGCCGCAGTCTTGTGGGTGTGGGCTACTGTGGGGATTTTTTATGCCTCCCATTGTGTCGAATTTTCGTTTCTTCCATTTTCCTCTTAAAACTTTGTTAAATTAAATTTTTGGAAAATAAAAAATGAACAAAATTATTAACAAAATACAAAATACCAAAATTTTTAAGTACTAACAAGATTCAAATGATCAATAAAACTGAAAACAACAAATTTTGTTTTCTCAGTCTATGACAAAAGTTTGGGGTATTACAGCCATCAATCAGAAACTTTGACCACCACATCAATCTCCGTGAAGGGGCTGAGTCGGTGAACATGCAACCATATTGGTATGCCTATTTTCAAAAGGCTAAGATAGAAAAACAAGTTGATGAAATGCTAAAGACCAAAATCATCTAACATAGTAACAGTCCTTTCTCATCCCTGGTGTTGTTATTAGGTAAGAAAGATAGCACTTTGTAGTTTTTTATGGACTATAGGGTCAACATGGTCACCATAAAAGACCACTTCCCTATACTGATAGTTGATGATATGCTTGATGAATTGCATGGTGTCTCATTTTTCACTAAGCTAGATCTAACAACCGGGTAGCACAAGTCAGAGTATACCCTCTAGATGTGTACAAGACTACCTTCTGTATTCACAGTGGCCCTTACAAATATTTGGTAATGCGCTTTGACCTATGCAATGCCCCTTCCACATTTCAGGCTCTCAAGAACAACATGTTCCGACCATAGCTCCATAAGTTTATCTTGGTATTTTTTAATTATATTTTGGTTTACAGTGCTACTTGGGCCCCCCATATTGATCATATGATAAAGGTATTGGAGTCTTAAAGTAGAATCACTTCTTCCTAAGGCTAAAATAATATGAGTTCGGCCTTCAAGAGCAAGAATATCTAGGGCACATCGTAGCCCCTAATGGAGTAAAA